CATGCCATCACGCATCGTTATCATCTTCATCCATCATATGTCATCGTCAATCGTCGTCGTCGTCATCCGTCGTCGTCGTTGTCGTCGTTCGCGTCGTCATCATTGCATCGTCCATATCAATGCAGTAAGGGCTTGATCAGGCAGCTGTATCTCCTGCTGAGGCATTGCCACACGATCGTTATCATCAACGTCGTCGTTGCGTTGTTGTTGTTTGGTTGTCGTTGTTGTTGTCTTGTGTCGTCGTCATCGTTTGTTGATCTTGGTTGTCGTTTTTGTTGTCTTGGTCGTCGTTGCTGTTTGTCTGGTTGCCGTTGTTGTTGTCTTGGTGTCGTTTTGTTGTCTAGGTCGTCGGGTTGTTGTTTGTCTTGCCGGCGTTGTTGTTGTCTTGGTCGTCGTTGTTGTTGTCTTGTCGTTGTGTTGTTTGTTGTTGTTGTTGTGTTGTTGTTGTTGATGTTGTTGTTGTTGTTGTTTGTTGTTGTCGTTGTGTTGTCTTGGTCGTCGTTGTTGTTTGTCTTGGTCGTCGTCATCGTTGATGTCTTCCGTCTTTCCCTAGTGAGACGCTTGATGAGTCGCCTGAGTGAAGCACCTTCACCGCGTAGTATCCCCGTGCCCTTCCCCCCCCCCCTCTGCTCTATATCGGAGAATTAACCGTTGCACTGACGTCATTTGCAGACCATCACATCTTTGACTATTCTTTCATCTTCAACATTTTCGGGCCAGACCTGCTGAACTGTAGGGGCTATGCTCTGACTCGCTGACATCACCTTCATTGTCATTACCAGGACCGATTGTTGGAACTTCACGCTTCAGATGTGGATCTGAAGAGCCCAAGTAATTTTGCACGTGTCAACAGTAATTCGCGTTTCTGAATGCCGCCATATATCGCTTTCCAAATCCTGGGCCGTGCGTCGTTCCACGGGTGGCAGGAACTTGTAGGCTGTGGATGAATGTTAAATCCAATATATTATTATTAAGTAGTATGTATCTCGTGCTTTATAACACACACGCGCGCGGCGCGCAACGCACGCACGGCACGCACGAAGCCGCACGCAACGCACGCACACACACACACACACACAGCACACATCACACACACACTCACAACCATATTGTGTATATATATATATATTATATATAATTCCTATGCATTAAATTCAATTTTTACAGCTTACTGATGTGATGCAATTGTGATCATGGAATTATCTCTATTGCACGATAAATCATACACATTTACAATGCTGGTTCAACAATCGCTGCGATACATGAGGAAGTGGAAGAATTATTGCTTTGTAAGATTGAATATACGTCACAAGAGCCAAATTTCAATTTTCCTGTAAATTCGTACTTTCTAATAAGTTTTACTGTTCTTCACAGTTTTGAGAAAAGTTTCAAAAGGTCTGTGTACGCAAGTGATCCTTATCGCGAGATTTACGCTTATCTCATATTCTCACAAACGCACGGTATTTGACACAGCAAAATATTGGTTGTAGTAACCAGGAAAATTAGAATAATTCTCACTTAACCCACAAACACGTTATCAGAAATATTGCGGAAGACACAGTACGTGAGAAGTGAACGAAATGCACTTACCCGCAGAATAGCACAGCACAGTATGAACAGCGCTGAAATACAATGGTAACAAATGCGGTAATTAAAATGACGAATTTGATAAATTTGCGTTTTATAACTAACGAATATTCTTATTTTCCGATGAGCCTGCGATAATAGGCGCGTTCACACACAAGAAAAACCGCGATGCTAATCGCGATGAAATACCGAGATAATTGTGTCGTTGTTCACACAGGCGAATAATCGCGCTAATCGCCGAGCGGGATAATTCTATTAATAGAACTGCGCATGCTCACTGCCGGAATGATGCTCACTGCGCATGCTCACTGCCGGAATGATGCTCACTGCGCATGCTCACTGCCGGAATGATGCTCACTGCGCATGCTCACTGCTCTCTCGCTTGGAATGATGGGATAGAAAATACCGGGATTATTTGCGCGAGCGTTCACACACTTATGTACACAATTACATTATTCATAAGCGTTCACACACTTATACACACAATTCCAAATAATCGCAGTCAAAAGTGCGATTTGGAGCGCGATGCTGATCGCAATTATTAGTGGGTATTATTGCGTTCACACTTGTAATAATCTCGGTATTTCGATCGCGATGCAAAAACCGGGATTTGCATCCCGCTTATTCGCGCCAGTGTGAACGCGCCTAATGACTCAACAGTAGGAGTTTACACTATAAAACGGCAATCCATTTCCGCATTGACACCGCTGTTACACTGAATACTGGTAAAGTCACTTATTTTCGTGGGTTCCAATTCTCGTGGTTTCAATAAAAAATACATGTTCGTGGGTTCTTAAATTCGTGGCCTCCACTCCGGAACCGGCAATTAACATACGTACATAATATTTCGTTGGGTACATAAATTCGTGGATTGATGGACCCACGAAATCCACGAAAATTAGAACCCCACGAAAAAAAAGGGTTTTACTATACTATTTTCGCTAATTATCCAGCCTGTTCTGCTAGCATCTATGGCAAATACGACATACGCATATACGCTCTCCTATGACACTATTTGTCATAGGAAGATTCTTCCTATGACAAATACGACATACGCATATACGCTCTCCTATGACACTATTTGTCATAGGAAGATTCTTCCAATGACAATTATTGTTGTATGTGTTGTGCGCATCGTAGGAGTTTGGGAGCGCTATTATGAACGCAAGCAGTGAATTTCAGCTGTTAAAGCGGAACGAAGTTGACTCGCCAATATTTGTCATAAGAAGAATCATCCTATGACAAATAGTGTCATAGAAGAGCGTATATGCGTATGCCGTATTTGCCATAGATGCAAGCAGAACATGTTGCAATATCATGAGTTGCTTTCTGTTGTCCAGATTAAAGAAACTTACGTAGCGGTCTCATGACGACAGTCGACGTGTCGCGGTCGGTGTGATCGGCATTCGCGTTCTTCGTTCCTATAGAAGACGAGTGTGTCGCACGTCGATCCGGTCACTAATATTTAACGGCGACAGTTTTCGTTTAAGTTGTCGCGTCGACTCGCGAACAGTTAGTCACGCGTGGCTCAACTTGTAGGAAGACGGCTGAACCTGACATTCAGCCATCGTATAGACGGACGAACGTTGTTCCAATGTCAGCAAGTTAAATGGTGCTAATCGTCAATCTATGCTACTTCACCGACTGCATTTCACCGATCACCCATTTGGGGAGGTTTTGACCGGTGTTAGAACCAGTTTCTTGCAAGACGAAAAGCATTGCAGGCAACAGATACGGTGTGCAACATATACATGTAACAATACAGTGCACGCAGATTTAACTACAGGGCAGGCATGATGTTCTTAAATTGACTACGTCACGAATTTTCTATGGTGTATATTTAAAAAATTGTGTTGCAATTTTTTTACATGAAAAGTAGGTACTAACAGGACTAAATGTATCGCCAAATTCTTACCTGATAAGATTGTTTCTCAACTAGATAAAAATCTAAAAAAAACCTGGACAATTTGATATTATGATCCTGACATTAATTGCTTGCTATGGGCTATGTATGAGTCACGAGTGTATGTTTACATTGAACAATATAGTAAAATAGGAAGTATAATGCAGCAATTTAACCATGAAAAGTGAACAGAATTACTTACATTTTGTGAAAAAGTGGAAATATTTTTTTTTACTTTTACTATTAACGGTGAGTATAATCGATCACATTGTCGACGACATCAGATGATCACATCGTCACACAAGATCGAAGACATCAAAAACCTACCCTACAGTACTTCTATACAGTACTTAGTATAGAATATAGACGTTCTTACAAAATGATTATGATAAAATACATGACATATAATATGAATAGCTATTCCTAAATGGTGACAATGAAGTGATTAACATCATCTTCACACAGTACATTTTAGCAGGTGGCGCTACATCATCCCTAGCGGCGGGAAAGGCACGTTTTTGAAACAGCGCGATGCGCTATCGAGCGGCAAAGATAGATATCGTGATATATTTCACGTGTTAAGTTATGATAGTTACTCCTTGGACCGATGTGTAATTCTGGTATCGGATTTTATCGTACACATCTCATTCGGTCATGCATCTGCCTTATCGGTCAGCATAAGATCGGCCTAAAATCATTGCCTTGTCTGGCTAGAGCGAAAACCGACCCGCTCGCCATCGTTCATGTACATTAGCATATAGCAATAGGGAATGGTGGAATGCTGCGACCGAAGAGAAAATTCTGAGATCGCATTTTACTGTACAATGGTAAGCATCTGGATTCCTGTTTAAGTGTGATTTAGCAGCATGACCGTGTAATTATAATTATGTGCAAGCGAGAGGTTCTTAATTGAAAATAAGGCTCTACTTCACTCAAAAATAAATCGACCATTTGGTATGGGGTTCGGCAAAAGTAATTCGAATCTTGCTGAAATTCAAGCTTAAAGTTGACATTGAAATGAAGTTTTGTTTTCCATCTGTCATTATTATATGCGCTGTATGCGATTCATGATTTTTATCAAAAACAGTACTTTTTTGTACTTTTCGCATTTATTGCGAGAATTTATTTCATTGTTTTGTTGCGAGATTGGCTGTTTCCGTGTGTATTCGTGTCGAGGCTTGAAACGTATACGCGAATCCTACTTTTAAGCTTAAAAACACTTTGTTAGTTATTCGTTTTCCCGCGAGAACAACTCCAAACGAAAAATTATGACAGAATATTCAAGTTAACATGATAAGTATTTCGCCGGGCCGAACTTGCGATTCCAGCTTGTGAACTGCCGATCACTTCGCGGAGTATGATGTTCGCGCGCCCTCTGTCGGTAGTTGCGAGCGGTACGGCGTAGGCAGATAGTAGTCTAATGGTGACATTGACAATAGCTGTTAGCTGGCTCTGCCAAGCCGTGCGTGCAAACCGAACCCTAACTCTGATCGCAGCAGTCGCGATTGTTGTCAGCCGCGCGGCAAGGCAACGCGAACACACCCGAAGGTGGCCCGAGCTCACTCTGTCGACGAGTTCGAAATCCATACTCCGAACTCACTTGTACTTGGGGATTTTTTTCGCGTCGACTTTTTTTCCCGCCTCCGCTGCTGACGGCGGCTACTTCGGTGCCAGTTAAGCGGAGTGTGTGAGCGCGCGTGAGAGGTGACGAGACGCATGCGAGTGGTTGACGCTATGCTGGGACACGAGTTGTGTTCTCTATAAGTTCTAAGTAAAGCAGGAACGTAGTGTGGGTCGGTGCTATACCGCAGCGGCGGGCGTTTCAGCTACGCGAAGGCGGTGTGTAGTAGCCGTGGACTCGATCTTCACGTAATTTGTATTCAAGGCGGAACTTTCTCACGTGGACCGACCGCACATTGTTCGATGTTGGGAGGAAACTCGGTAAGCTCTCATTTTCTCTGAAGGACACTGATACTAATGTTTTCTAATGTGTGTGTATGTGTGCGTGTGTGTGCGTGTGCGTGTGTGTGCGTGTGCGTGTGCGTGTGCGTGTGCGTGTGCGTGTGGATGTGCGTGTGTGTGCGTGTGTGTGCGCGCGTGTGTGAGCGTTTACGTGTGTGTGTGTGCGTACGGAGTGCGAACGTGCACGCGTTCGTGCGTGCATGGGCGGGCGTTCGTTCGTGTGAGTGTGTGAAAGCGAGGGAAAGGGAAATGCGTTACTACATAGTAAATAAGAATATGGGTGTTGTAAGAGAGCGATAGAGCGAAATATAAGGGCGAAGGAGAAAAGGGTGGGGTTGGTGGGTGGTTGAATAAGTTAGTTGGAAGTCGTTGGGTGAATGAGCGAGCGAGTGAGTGAGTGAGTGAATGAGTGAGTGAGCGAGTGAGTGAGTGAGTGAGTGAGTGAGTGAGTGAGTGAGTGAGTGAGTGAGTGAGTGAGTGGGTGAGAGTGGGTGAGTATATATATATATATATTATTTATTATTATTGTAATAATTATTATTATTTGTGACAATTACTAGCTCTCCCCGAATGTGCCTCGTTACAACACCTATTATGTCTGTTTAAAGTTTAGGACTTACAGGATTTGCCTCTGTTTGCCTGTAAACTGTGCGCCGTTCCCCCGAACCAATTCTCTCTTCGGCCATAGCCAGCCTCCCCCTTCTATGATAGCCACTCACATTCGTTCACACTGTAGCTCGGATTGCTTCACGAAATTTCTATCTCTGCTACACTTAATGCTCCGATAATATTTTCTACTAGCAAATTTGCCAAACGTGACTACCATAGTTGATTTGTTCTTCGCGAAGCCTTTGTTAGTTTGTCTAACAGAGAACACAATAATATATAGCCGTTCGGTTTTGTGGGTTACCTCTTTGCTCGCTATATATACGAGATACGTTTACGAAATTCGAGCCGAGGGAATTTCACTGGTGTTGCTAGTACACGTACAGGTGTTTTCTGCATGGACGTTGTTTTTGTCCGTATAACGTCGAATAATAGCAGACATAATTGGGAGGGAATCCAGTTTTCGTTTTTACTCTTCGCAAACAAATTCCGTGAGGCTACCGCTGCGCGTTCATAATACAAGCATTCATTCCTGAGTCGCGCTCTCTGTCGGAGAGCAAATAAAAATTACGGTAGGAATTGAAATCGCCATTGTATATTTTATCATGCGGCAGCCCGTGCCTTGTTGAATGCGGCTATTGTTCGACGCACCTTTGCGGGCTGCATGGTTCCAGTGCTTGTTAACTCGACTGTATACGTGTACCCTCTCTCGCTCCGTATGTACGCGCGTGTTTGAAACATGTGCTGCGAGTGCAGCCTTGTGTGTTGTAACGATGTATATATGGCTGACGAATTCAACCCTTTCGACAACGACGGTGAAATCTTTTCACGTACGCCGACGTGTCGCTTAAACACCGACGACGTTTTTATTGCTATAGCTGGTCATATATTACTCGCGTCTACAAAGTTTAGTGTTTGATACGGACATTTTTGTTTACCCGGTGATACGGACTTTTGCACCTGAAAGACAAGCATGCTTATCATGCTTGAATTGCTCGTCATTGATTTGCTCATCATTGCTGAATTAATCATCAATGTTCGTACCCCGTCTTTACGCCGGCGTCATTTGTTCGCTAAGTTGATGTATGTATATATATATATATATATATATATATTATATATGATAGTGTGACATTGGCAGACAAGCGCCGTACGCTCGCTCGTCCGTGATTCACGCTGTAATCTGCTAAGACTATACAAATACAAATCGCGTGTTTGTTGTATGAATTTCACTTCTATTCACTGACGCAGTTGTGCAACTTATCTGTGTCGATATGTCGCCGCACCCGCGAAATAGGAATCGGGCCGAAGTGTAGACGGTCTTTATCAGTGAACTCCTAAAGTCTGCATTAGAAGGCGCATTGTAATGTCCTATAGGTATCCGTGGACGTAATCTGTAGACGTAATCCTGTTCATATTATTCGAACAATGTCGGCAAACAGATATAACTATACATAAACATTGCCTATAGGTTCGGAATGCACGAACCTTATATTCCGACGGCTGTCTGATCGCCTGTGAAAAGTAGACTGCAGCATCAGCGACATACCACTTGTGTGTGTGTGTGTGTGTGTGTGTGTGTGTGTGTGTGTGTGTGTG